TGTTATGGTAAATTATTTATTTGGAATGTACATACTAAACAATTATGTGCCATTTTAAATGATCATTCAGAACATGCCTATATTAGAAATACACTTGTTATTAATCAATTTGATAATATGAATAATACTAATAATAATTGTAATGGATTTTATTTATTTACAAGTGGAGATGATAGTATTACTAATATTTATGAAACAACAATTAATAATAATAATAATAACTTATCAACCCAAAGATTGGATCAAGTTTATAATAATTAATAATAATAACATGACCCTTACATCTTCAAGAAAGAAATAAAGCCTTTCTTTTTTTTTAACATCATTGAAGCATTCTATGATTATTACATATCGGATCATGAAACATCATCCTCTTCAAAATATAAACAATTGTAATATTACCGAACATTATCACTTCATCAAATAATTAAATTGTTATTTGATGATAATTTTGATGGTGCAATAAAATTTTTGAAATTTTGCTCTTTGAAAAAAAAAACAACAAACCACTCCTACACAACTTTAAAAATGCTCACTGATACTGCATTTGAAAAATTATATCAATCTGGTAATGATGCTTCATCAACATCAAATGTTATTTCATCCATCTCTTGGGTACCTAAAGGTGCTTTTAAATTAATTCCAACAATTTTAGCAGATTCCATGACAGAACCACCAAAAGATCCAAAGGAACAACAAGATGATGATGATGAAGATAATGAAATGGAAGATTCTGAAATGAATGATGATGAACAAGTAGAAGAAGAAGAAACAAGTAAAATTGGAGGATTGGAAGAAATTTCACTTGAAGAATTATTATATAAATCAGTTGGAGGTAAAAATTTAACCATGTATGAAAATAATGAACAAGATCCATATTTAAAAGGACGAGGATTGAGTGATTCAAGTGAAGAAGAAGATTTTGAATTAAAAGCAACAGATTTACCACTTGTTGCTATTCATAATGAAGAAGATGGATTAACAACACTTCAAGTTTGGATTTATGAACAAGAAGAAGATAATTTATTTATGCATCATGATTTATTATTAGGAAATTATGGTCTTTGTACACATTGGTTAAATTTATCATCAATTTCACAACCATCAAATTGTATTGCAATTGGTACATTTGAACCACAAATTGAAATTTGGGATTTAGATATTGTTGATCCAATTGAACCTGTTATGATTTTAGGAAATGAAACTGATTCTAAAAAGAAGAAATCACAATCAATGGGACATAAGGGTGCAATTTTATCAATGTCATTCCGTTCTTCTGATTCAAAATTAGCTTCTGGAAGTGATGATAAATCAATTGTTATTTGGGATTTATCAAATCAAAAACCTTTTTATCAAGTTAAAGGTGCAGGTGCTTCTCCAATTCAATCAGTTCAATTCCATCATACTGAACAAAATATTTTATTAGCATGTCCAATTTCTGATCATGTTTGTAAAGTTTTTGATGCAAAACAACAAAATTCAAAACCAAAATCATTTAATTTGCAAAAATTCAATAATGTATTCCCTGATATTGAATCTGCTATTTGGAATCCAAATAATCCTTATGAATTTGTTTGTGCACAAGATAATGGTTTTATTACTTGTTTTGATATTAGAAATGAAAAGACTCCAGTTTACAATATCAATGCTCATTCAGGTGCTTCATGTAGTTCAATTTCATTCTCCAATTTGAAATCAAATTTAATGGCTTCTGTTGGTTCAGATTCCTGTGTTAGATTGTGGAATACAAAGACATCAACTCCTGAATTAGTTTACACAAAGAATGTAAAGAAGAGTATGTCTGATATTTATAGTTGTGCTTTTGCTCCTTCAACCCTCAATGATGATATCATTTTAGCTTATGGTGGTTCAGGAGGAAATTTGAGTGTTTTGAATATTTCTCTATTGACTTCCCAATCATACAACTGAATCATCTTCAACACCATCTCAATAAATCATTACCTTATTTAAATTACTAAATCATTGTAAGGGAGGCGAAAGTAATAAATTCAGAATCAATTCATTTGTATCTAAAGTTAAAAAACAACTGCAAAAAGTCATAGCAAATCTAGGTTTCGATCCTAGGACCTATGGGTTATGAGCCCATCGCGCTTCCGCTGCGCCAATTTGCTTTACGATTATGTTTTTCAAAAAAAATTTATTTCGCTGGTTACATCTTGTAATTATCTGGCATCATTAAAGGTTTTATAGGGTTCATAATGTAATAATTTAAACTTAATATAAGTACAAATAGGATTATACCGAAGGAGCTAA